ATGCTGTTTTGCTTTCTATTCTACAGGAATATGGTGACACTGAGTAAAAATACTTAGCTGCCTATAGTGTGACTGAGCACACTAACCCGTGCACCTGTCCATTAACTCTACCTGTATCAGGTGATGAACTGATCGCCAGCAATCCCCACTCTGTAATGCTGTCAGGCAGGGGGCTGTCCATATTTCTAGATGCCAACCTGTTGATCAAATTCAAATGTTTTATATTGTTTTTTACTATCTCAAGCAAATGTTTTCATGATCCAAACCCTTGAGTTGAAAAATTAGCAAAGAAATTAGCTGTAATCTTTTTTTTTCATAGCAAGGAAAAAAAGAGAAAATACTAATAATGGTGTCTACTAACCAGAAAGTCTGTAGATGAACTGTAATTCACATGGAAAATGTAAAAAATGAATAAAAAGCTGAGTGAATGTGTGAGGGACAACCTAACACAGACTGAAAAGTGGTGCTTAAGTCTCCAACATTCAGCATTCACTATTTTTTTTATTTAAAGTATACTTTGATTTTATCAATCTTTATCAACTTGGAAAGCAAAACAAAACAAAAAAAAAGTCTAAATGTTGATCTGAATCTGTTTGTTGAGCTGTTTGATGATTAACACATTTAGTTCCTTCCTTCGCAGTAGGATAGTCAGAGGATCATTTACAGAACTCACATCTGGCTTTTTAGATTTTCTCCTTCATGCCCTCTGTTGTAGCTTTTTGAATCATAATAAAAGAAAATAAAAACCTAACAAGTTGTAGCTCCCATGGTTTATATTAAAACAAGTTAGTATTTGTTGCAAAGGACAGGTTGCATGTTAAAATAAGAGCAAAAAGTTTATTCATTCATCACTGCTATATCCGACTCAATTTCCATGCTGATTTTGTCTACCTGTGTTTCTGTAATAATCCACAGGAATAATAAAATGCACCAAGATAAATTGATTTTTGAAACACAAAAAGTGAGACAATTCCATGGGCAAAATTAATTTAGTTAAAAAAAAGTTTTTGTCTCCGATGTGCCGGTCTCTTTTTTCCACTCACCCATCTCTGTCTGCTTCGCTCGGCAGGCTAACATCCATCCACAACCAGGACTCGTAGAACTTGGATCGAAGATACACTTGAGACTCGTCCAGGTACTCCCACTCTTCTTCTATTTCTTCTTCTTCCACCTGGCGTGGAGCAGGAACCCTCATGAACTTAATTATTTCTGGGTCGCCTGCAACTGAATAGCTCATGCCAAGTCCAGTCCTTCCTGCAACTGGTTTTATTTGTGAACCCCAGTCTGTTGGAGCACAGTCACAAAAGGTGAGAGGGTTTAACGTATAAACATGAATAATTGAAAAAGATTTAAGACATTGAGCTGACTTAAAATGCAAAATGAGAGAAAAGTTGAGGTACAGTTTTTACCAAAAGTGTGCCTTGACAGAGGTATTTTAAATGGCACAGCAAGTTCATAAGAGTAAGCGATGGTTGGAGGAGGGGTGGTGGTGGTGGGAGGGGTGGTGGTGGTGGGTGGAGGGGTGGTGGGGAGCAGGGTGTCATACACCTGGCCCCTGTAATTGGCGCAGCAGTAACGGAAAGCCAGGATGCACTCGGGGCCCTCGGTGATGTAGAGGGAGCGTCGGGTGCACGAGTATGGCATGGGTATGTCCCTCAGGCCGTCTTTACAGCAGCGCCGCTGCAGCTTCTCATCGAAGTGACTCTCTGGAGGTCAGGGGATAAATGGAAAGGAAAACAGCAGAGTGATGATGTAGCTTTTCATTAACTTTTTCTTAGTATTCAATGTGGCTACTGATGTGTTTTTTAACCAGCAGTTCCAAACTAAACTAAGTTGTTTTTAAATTCACCATCAAATGACAGACTACCTTTGTTTTAAATAGGAAAATATTGTTTTAATCTTGCCAAAGCGCAACTCATTTTTGAGAGTGTAAACAATGAATGTCAGCGGGATATAGGGTTGGGCAAAATTGCATTGTGTGCAAGTAATCATCAGTAACTGTCGACCATTATTATTTGCCTTTTTGTGCCACTTGATGACGTAGTTTCCTGCGTGACACACTCTCACTATAAGTGCACATGTGAGCTTGTGGTATTTTGCATAATACTGCCACTCAACACTGAGGAAAAAGTGGGTTTAAATTCACAGCTTACTGCTGTAAGTTAGTCTAATTGATGATTTGTAAGTAGAACTTTAGAACATAGCGTACCGTAGCTGGAGTCAAAACATGCAAGTGTAAGTGTCATCTATAAATGGTTGTCAATTAATTGTGATTCATTTTTTTTGCCAGTTTTACCCAACCATAGCAGGATAATTAAGCTGTAGTTTCTGTTCAGTTTATTAAAACGTTATTAACTTATATTGTTTGTCTTCTTGCTGTGCCGTTTTTCAACATTAAAATTTATGAAAGTTGTCAGAAAACAAACCCAAAAATAGGAGGTACAGGCCTTACAAGACTTTAATTACCTTCATGCTACTGAAAAATGCTTCAAAGACACCGACAACATGGGATCGTTTAAAAATCCTGTGAGTATGTATTTAGAATTATGGTGCAGGTTTAAGTTCACAGTGCTTAAATCACTGATCTGTTTTCAGCTAAACCATCACGCACTAATGATACAAACTCACCCAGACGTGCTTTACGCTTCAGAAGCTCAGCAGAGCGCCTCTTTCTAGCACTGCCGGGACATTGCAGAGCTGAAGAAAAAAAGAGGAGAGCTTTACGTGAGGCCATTTTGATGTTTAGTGATTCATTTTAATAATTAAGCTGAAGGACTACATTTTTGGCCAACAAAACATAAAAAAACACAAGTCTTGGCTCAGCTCTTTGATTGAATCAGAAAAAAGAGACAAGCTTTAAATATAAGTGCAGTTAAAGTTAAATAAAGTTTGCAAAAGACGAATTAAGTCAGTGAGTTCAGCAGCAACAGATTACAAGAAAAAAAATTGATGTAAGAAATAAAATAGGACAGCTATGTAAAAATGTTTAAAGTTGATACAACTACTGTATATTTAAATACGTAGTGCAATAAATACGTAAATCTAAAAGTATGTTATGTGATGGAATGAACCCTTATACAGATTTATTAGTTTGCTGACAGCAGTATCACATTCAGCGGGTAAAATAAGTACTCAACACGTCACCATTTTTCTCAGTAAATATATTACTAGAGGTGCTAATGACATGAAATTTTCACCAGATGTCGGTAACAACCCAAGTGATCCATACATACAAAGAAATCAAACCATAAATGTCCAGAAATGAAGTTATTTGTAATAATGTGGAATGGCACAGGGAAAAAGTATTGAACCCATGAAGAAAGGGAGGTGTTAAAAGGCATGGAAAGCCAAGACACCAGCTGAACTCTCTCAGTAATTAGAAAGCAAGCCTGCCCCTTGTCAGTGCAAGTTAATATCAGCTGGTTCAGTCCCAAATGATGGCCAGGTATCACACAAGAACCATCTGATGATGGGTAAAAGTAAAGAGCTCTCTCAAGACCTTCACAACCTTATTGTTGCAAAGCATAATGATGGCATTGTTTACAGAAGAATGTCTAAACTTCTGAAGGTTCCAGTGAGCACTGTTGGGGCCATAATTCAGAAGTGGAAAGAACATTATTTCACCATAAACCGACCACGACCAGGTGCTCCTGACAAGATTTCTGACAGAGGAGTGAAAAGAATTATCAGAAGAGTTGTCCAAGAGCCAAGGACCACTTGTGGAGAGCTTCAGAAAGACCTGGAATTAGCAGGTACAATTGTTTCAAAGAAAACAATAAGTAATGCACTGAACTATCATAGTCTGTATGCACGCTCACCACGCAAGACTCCACTGCTGAAGAAACAGCATGTTGAAGCTCCTTTAAAGTTTGCTGCACAACATTTAAACAAGCCTGTGTAATACTGGGAGAATATAGTCTGGTCAGATGAGACCAACATTGAACTGTTTGGATGCCAGAATACACATCATGTTTGGAGGTCAAATGGCACTGCACATCAGCCCAAAAACACCATACCAACAGTGAAGTTTGGAGGTGGGAACATCATGGTGTGGGGCTGTTTTTCAGCATATGGTACTGGCAAACTTCAAATAATTGAAGGAAGGATGAGTGGAAAAATGTACAGAGACATTCTTGATAAAAATCTGCTTCCATCTACCAGGATGATGAAGATGAAACGTGGCTGGACATTTCAGCAAGACAATGAGCCCAAACACAAAGCCAAGGAAACTCTCAGTTGGTTTCAGAGAAAGAAACTAAAGCTGCTGGAATGGCCCAGCCAATCACCTGACCTGAATCCAACAGAAAATCTATGGAAAGAACTAAAGATCAGAGTTCATAGAAGAGGTCCACGAAACCTTCAAGATTTGAAGACTGTTTGTGTGGAAGAATGGGCCAAAATCACACCTGAGCAATGCATGCCACTAGTTTCTCCATTCAGGAGGCGTCTTGAAGCTGTCATTGCCAACAAAGGCTTTTGTACAAAGTATTAGATAAATTTAAGTAAGTGTGTTCAATACTTTTTCCCTGTGCCATTCCACATTATTACAAATAACGTCATTTCTGGACATTTATGGTTTGATTTCTTTGTATGTATGGATCACTTGGGTTGTCACCGACATCTGGTGAAATTTTCATGTCATTAGCACCTCTAGTAATATATTTACTGAGAAAAATGGTGACGTGTTGAATACTTATTTTACCCACTGTATAATCAATATGTATTCAACACTGATGATAAATAATTATCTGGTATTTTTGCCATATTACCCAATGAGCAGTAACCATTTCTCATGTTAAACACACATCATTTGAAAATACCTTCTGGTTTTCAAAAATACGTATTAATACTAAAACCTACAGTTTTGTTTTATAAAAGAAAGAGGAAATTATTCTCAATATTTCACTGATTTTTGCTGCAAATCTTTACAAAAACAGGTGAGGAAAAAAAGTGGCAGAGGAAAAAAAATACTAATTGTTAATAAAATGAAGTGAAGCTTTTTTTTAAATGTTTGCCATAAACTGTGAAAAATGAGGGAATTTTAATCACATGATCCAAATATGGTCAAACATAAACTGGATCACTCTCAGATGTGAGGATTCTAAGTTAAAGTTCCATAAAATTATTTTACTGCAAACAGAATTTTGGAGAATAACGTTTAAACATGGCTTTTTGGTCGATTAGTTATTTAAAAAAATGAAAAGAAACAACAGACTCTATGTTGGAGCTATTTTTTACAAGATTAATTTAAATGTCTTCTGAGTTTTCTTCAGTTTCACAAAAAAAAAGCTGCTCTTTTTTTCAAAATGTGAACAAAATACAAAGTGATGCAAAAACATGATGCTTACAATAAAGAACTTAAATGATCTGAAATCAAGACAAAAGTATGGACTTGTAAAGACCTTGTCTGGTTTGGGTTTTGAAGCCAGTGTTGGAAGAGTAAAGAAGTCCTGCATCTGCAAACACTCCTGCAGCGTCTTGACCTCCTCCTCCCCGGGTGCAGCCGATGTCTCCCTTCTCCACCACGCCCCAAATCTGAATCAAAGATTTCATTGATGGGAAAAGCTTCAGATGTTTGTTTCATACAGGTTATGAATACTTTTGAATTTTCTGATGAGTAACGCCGTAGCATTTTTCACTGTGAGTTTATAATACATTGTTTATAAATATTGTTCTATTTCTACAAAAGAAACTCAATGTGTTCGATCTAATTTGCGATATTTTGCATTTATAGATGCAATATGTTTTTTACATATAAACACGTACTTTTCCCTGTGATAGTCTGTCCTTGTTGAGGAGATAAACAGCATTGTCCACAGCCACCAGGCTGACCTTTGACCCCGGGTCACCTTTGATCTTAAAACGGAAGTTTTTCCCAGGGGCGTAATCTCTGTGTTTTCCATCAACTGGCCCAACTTCAAGCTACAAGTAGAAAAAAATGAAACATACAGAAACAGCTCTGTAAATGTAAAAAAATAAAACTATAATGAAAAAACAAAAGAGTCTTTTTTTTGCTTGCTTATTCAACTATAGTCACTTTGTGCTTCAGGTTGATAAATGCCACAACAGGTTCAATTTCTACAAAGTGTCTGTTTTTTCTTTACAAATAAATACACAGAATGTTCATAAAAATGTACAAGGACTTTTTTAAATGTTGCTACAAGTGAGGGGGTGTGGAGGGTTAGGATCCCCACAGAGTTAAGAGGCAAATTCAGGAATTGACAACACTGAAGCAAGCAGAGGAAATGGTAAACTAGCAAGAAGCGTGGATGAACACTGACATTCTGACATAGACGTGAGGAATACTGAGGCACATACTTTATATACAAGGATGGGGAGATCAATTATTACTGACTATAAATAAAAAGCAGGTGAGTGAGAAATTGGGACATCAAGAAGCTAAATAACCAAATCTACTCTAAAATTAATAAAACTTTGAACCAAACAGGAGTGAACTAAGATTACAAACACTAAAACAAAGAAAATAAAAGTAGGGGTGGGTGTATTGATCCATACTGTATGCTGTGGCATGAGGGCCACAGTTAAAACTACTGCGCAACCAGTGGTTGCTACATCCTTGTAGCAGGAGGCTACATCTATTCCTAAGCGAGCTATTGTACTGGGGCCAGCTGCTCAGTTACTGGTGCCGACCAATCATTGATCAGATTTCTAGCTGGCTGAGGAATAGATAGACCCTCCTGCTACAAGGAGGTAGCAACCACTGGTTGCACAATAGTCTTAATTTTAGCCCTCATACTGCGCCATAGATCCAAGTATCATTATCAATACCAAGATGTGAATCAGTAATATAAACAATCATTAGCTACAGTGTTGTAAAAATATTTCAAAATTTACAGCACCAATCAGTTCTCAGTCGTGTGTTTTATTTTCCAAGTTGCAAAAGGTAGCACCACCATGTTGCGCAAGACCTGGCCATCCGTTCCCCCATGTTTGTTATGTGTGTCTTTCTTCGAACGAGTGTTCTTAACTGCAGTTTCGTTCTGCATTGCATCTTTGATGTTGTGTGTAAATGACAATAAAGCTCATTCATTCATTCATTCATTCATTCATTCATTCATTCATTCATTCATTCATTCATTCATTCATTCAATCACTGTGAACCTGACAGAGCGAACACCCCAGGGCCCCATAACCTGTCCAGTATAGATAGGGGCGAGTCCTTTGTTACGTGTACAGCAAAACGTTCTCGCTCCCGACCCGTCAACATATTGACACTTGGTCAGGCACCGTCTGTGTCCAGTTTTGACGCATCGGGTACCCCTCTTGCGTCAGTCATTGCCGCCTGCGGCTTTTCCGGGTTTCACCACATAGGGGTCTTTGGGTTGGAGGTCTGTGGTTAATATGAGGGATCAGGATTAATGGTTACTTTTAGGTACTGAGGTTGGGGATAGGCTGTATATGGCTACTAGAAGTTCAATTTAGGGTCTGGGATGGTTAGTTGTCGTGCATTTCCTACTCTTAAAAAATATGACAACACACTCCTCCTCCTCCTCCGTCTCATCTCGTTAAGAACTGACGTGAGAGGGGTACCCGACATGTCAAAACTGGACGCAGACTGCTACCTGACCAAGCATCAATATGTTAACCATGGAGAATCAGGCTGTGAGTGAAGCAGAATTCAGTTGTTGTGCTCACTGAATGTGTGCATTTCTGACTGAAAAACACTATTTATGTCTCCATCTGACATTTTGCTACGCTCGATTTATTGTAATGTGCGTTTAGACATAACTTTGAAAAAGAAAAATCTTTTTAAAAATATGAAAATTTGACAATCCCACTAGGGGTTGCGATCCCGTACTTTGAAGACCTCTGAGCTACAACGTCTGTCATTTGCAAGCTGCTTTGGATAAAAGTTTTCTTTAAATAAATGTAATGTAGATATATACTGTACTGTATAATACTGATAGACTGTCACCAAGTGCTATAAAATGTTTTATTTACATATTTCTATACAGTCAACAGATGAAATATTTATGTTTTGCCATTGTATCTTCACACAGCAAAACCGCACCTTCTTTAATAATTACAGTCTGCAACATCTTGAGATAGAGGCTCAGCTTTAGGAAAGATTTAAACACTCACCCCTCCAACACATGTATCCACCACATCTATCCAAATGGAGTCGGAGACTAATTCCTCCCGTCCTACCCAGGGAATACTGTAGAACGCCACAACGCGAAACGATGGCATCATCTCTGATGTTACCATCAACGCAACGTTGGTGAACTGCTGGCCTATTATGTCCGTACGTTTGGCTAATATGATTTTACCCTTACTGAGCACCTGCAGAGTTTTAGGGGGGAAAAAACATCAGGAATCAATACGTGATTGAGACACGTCCTTTTTAACATTCAGGTGGACAGGAAATGCGCGAGTATCTCACCAGGTAAGTTAGGTGTTTGATGTGCCCTCTGTTTGTCTGATCCGTTAAACTGACAGAGAACTGCAGGGACAATCTGTCTCCAACAGACACTCTGTTGGTTCCTGTGGAGATGTAAAGGAAGTTTTTTTGGTTTTGGTCAAAGGGGTTGTAAGGGTGAACCGTGATCTGCTTGGTGGCCTGCTGATCGGGTCTCAAGCCAGCTTGTGCCGTCTCAGCCTGAAAAGCAAACAAAGTCACATTTGTTGGGGGTTTCCTTTGTCCGACTGTCCAGGAGCCATGACAGTACATAACATGCCAGTAAGAGTTGCCAGAAAACGTAAAGAATTTGAATAAAGGGAGGAAAAAAAGAGCACATCTTGATTTCAACCACTAGCAGATATAAAGGGAAGTTATACGACAACTATAAGTTATTAAAGAGTTTTGTTGAGCAAGTCAACATACGGTTGTACTAACAGTTATAGTTTGTGGGATTTGGTCGCTGGGCATGTTGATGCTGGCTCTGGCAGAGCCTGATGAGGCAATCAGTGGCGTGTTCAGAAAAGTTAGCTTCACCAAGACGTTTCGAGCTGGAGAGCCGTCATGGTTGTTCACCAGAATCTGCAGAAATGAGTTCTGTGTTGGATTTATCCAAGTAAAACAACTCTTCTGAACAGAATGAAAACACTGAGGACGTTACTCACTGTGAGGTCCAACGGCAGACCTGGTTTGAAGTACTTCGGCATGTCCTTGAAGGAAACAACGTACGGGGACTCGACGATTTTAATGCCGGTCTTCTCGGCCTCAACCAGATCACTTCCTGTGCAGGTAAACATCTTGAGTCAAATAGAGGTAAAGGTTGATTTCGTGGCCATCAACTTTAAAAAAAAAATTCCCTTTAGATACTTTTACAATACTGCACACAAACAAAAATAAACTTTATTTTATTATTTTATTTAAAATTTGCAATGATTAAATTGTTGGTTTTGACTGCTAAAAGAAATAAAAAAATAACATTTCTCAACATCTAAAAGCGTTAACCTCCAAATTATGACACAACAGAGTCAACATTTAGTTTGTCCAGGGGAACACATGACATGGACCTCAGATTACAGTGCTGAGTTTCATGGAGGACTCCATGAATTCTGATGAACTCTGGTCAGATTACAACATACTGGAGTTTTTTGGTTCCAAGTTTGCATTTCAAAGCAAAATACCCACAGCTTGTTATCCACTGGACATAGTCTGACATAAACACACAAAACACTCATTTAACCCAATAAAATATGTAGTACTCCTGTGCTTTTTCCATGTTTTTTGTTTGTTTGTTTTATCAACCCTTATGTTTGATTAAAAATGGACAGGTGTCTTACCTATCTTGGTGAGCACAGAGGCCTTCACATACACAGAGTGACCCACCAAAGCTTTAATGTCAGGGTAAGCGGCCTTAATCTCTGCCATACTCAGTGAGACAGTTCCTCCATCCAGCTGCATGGACAAAGAGGAAAATAAGTTTATTTTCAAATACAAAAAAACAAGTGAAGGACAGTTATTTCTGCCTCTTTTTAGAGTTTTGAACACAATTCGTCTCATATAAAGGCATGATGAAGACAGCTTATGCCAACTTGTAAAAAAATGTTATGCATAAATCACTCAAATAGATAAGATATTTGATCTAACAGTCAGCATTACAGTATGTATACATCCAATAGAGGCTTCAGTGTTGGACACAATTTTCACAAGTAGTCTAAAACGTAATAATAATAATAATAATAATAATAATAATAATAATAATAATAATAATAATAATAATAATAATGATGATAATATAATGCAACACATAATGTTCATATAACAAGATACAGAAATAATATTAGAAAATAACAACCTAAAAGAGAAAAATAAGTCAAACTTACATCTGACACCTGCTTGATTGAAGGTAATCTTTTCATCTCTTGGTTGATTTTCACTCCGAACACGACATAGGCCGTCCCCTGGACAGGCTCCCTGTACAGATATCTAAAATGAGAAATAACTGATTACTTGGAAGTCTGAAAATGAATAAAGTTAGGAGGGACAAACTGCAGGTGGATTGTTTTCTTGTATCTGGGATTTAAACTGACCTTGCAGAAATCTCTACAACTAGTTCATCGTCATCTAAACTGATGAAGGACTTCCTCGGTGTCAGGGTGACATTGAAGGCAGGAAGAACTGAAAAAGGAAGGCATAAAATAAAACACTTAATGTCCAAAAAGTGACATTTTGAAAGGGACACTGTTCTGAACAGTCCTGTCTTTTTTTCTGTTTAGTTTTATTTTTGCTTATACATCTGACTTTCTTGTAAATATCTTGAGTCAGGTCCTGTTCTTATGCTTGAAAGATTAACACATCAGATTTACATGGCTCGGCAAATAATTTATTCCTTTGTAAGTTCTATTAAAAACATGACTTACCGTATTTCTTCACTTCAAACTGGGAGGTGAACGTGTTCTGCTGCCAGTGGTCGAACTTTGCGGTCACCACCCAAATGCCTTCACTGAAAAACAGTCAATCTTTTTACAGAAAACACTGAGGAAACAGGCTTTTGGTGTTGGTACTTTATGTAATATTGTTATATTTCTTAAAATATCAGCTAAATATTCCATAAATATGTTGATAAATCTATAGCATTCTTTCTCAAACTCTGAAACTTTAGTGTGCTTAAAAAAAATATTATTCATTAATGTGCCGTTGCTGAGATATAAATTGTACAATTTTATTCCCATTTTTAGACTGAGAAGCTTTCCTTCTGGATTAACATCAAATTACACTGAATCATTTTTAAAACCTGAAATGACTCTTGTTTCTCTTTTTTCTCTAAAACAAACGTGTTTCTCGCCATATGTACTGGTATTGAAAAGGAAAATTTTCAGGTAATTTCACATAATTTCTTTATTTTCTTACAATCTGTTACAACTTTATGCAACATTTTCAACATTGTATAAATAAGATTAGTGTCTTTAATGTGTTTTTATAGTGTGTTTCGGTGTTTTGCAGGTGAGAAATAAAAGGGTTAGTAAATAACCTAAGGTTAAAAAAAATTGATTCTTAGAGTATTTTGAAGGGAAGCCTTAAATCTTAACAGGTTAAATTAAAATAACCAAAAATCAAGAGTAAATATCTGATGAAGAAATGTAAATATTTAACCATAACAGAAGGAGTTTAAACACAACGATGCATTTAGGTGGGTCTTACGTGACGATTTCAGAGAGAGGAAACGTTTCTGCGATGACGCCATCAACGGCTCTGCTCCTGGTGAGCTGTTTCATCACGACACCGTCAGGGTTCTGAAACACGTTACTTCAGTTACGATCAGAGAAATCAACAGGCACATGTAAACATTATGCATCAGATGATTTTGATCACACGAGTCAAACTCAAGGTCCGTGGGCCAAATCCGGCCCTTGTTAACGTTTTATCTGGCCCCAAATGTAATTCTTTAATTGTGAAATAGTTTTATGCTTTCTCTTTTTATCACTGGATTTAGTGCATTCTTTCTTAACAGAGAATTGACTTTAATTATCTTTTTCGGTATTCTCTTCTTATTTTAAAATCTGATCATTTTTACCTGATTTGATGGATTGTGATAAAATGTATCTCTAAGAAATGAATGTTAAAGATGTGAAACATTTCCTTTATCCAAGTTTATGTATGCTCTAAATGCTACACAAAACAGAATTTGTATAAGGTCATTTGCATTTCTATAAGAATAATTTGTTATATGACATTTTTTTTAAATACTGACAGAAATAAGTCCTTGTGTAACTTAGTTTGACACCCCTGATTTAGATCAAAAGTTTGAAGTGTCAATTAAATCAAATAATTCCGACCAGAAATAAACCATAAGGGAAACCATTTGTAACATCTGTGTTTACAGGAAATTCACACATTTACGGTCATTTGTAGTAAAATTTTACCTGGATTTCTATAGTGATGGAGCTGTCCAAGGCCTTAAAGAACGGAGAGGACACAAAGGTTCTGAATCGAACTGGTAAAGACAATAAAAAACACCAAAAAAGATCAGATTTGTAGTGCTTTAAATCACTCACAACATTTAATTATGGCTCTTATTAGTGATCAGAATTTCTGTTACAATCGCTCAATAGAAAGTTTTGCCCCTGGATCTGACATATTGCCTGAAGGAGGGGCTGGTTTTAAGATTGTGCTGTGATGCTTGGTTCAGGGCCAGATACCATGACTGGATAAACGGTTGGTACTTTGGTCCAGCTGTTGGTATTGTATGGCTTTATTTCTTGCATTTACCATTCAAGTCTAATTCTGTGCTTGTGTCCTGGTTCTCGACTCGCACTGAAGTGACTGATCGTGATCTCTTTCAGCATAAAAACCTATCCACCTAAATGACACCTTCTGGATCAAGTGTATTTAATTGTGGTTGGATGAGAAGTATAAGAATATACCATTCTGACATCCTATTCAACATCAATTTTTTATATAACATTATTGTAATTATAGCCTTTAGAAATAAGATTTTTTTGAGGCCTCTGTGGTCCAGCCTAAGCTTTTGTCCTTAATATTTGTTTCTTTGCATTACTTTTACTTTTATACTTTAAGTAGTTTTAAAACCAGTACTTTTACACTTTTACTTGAGCAATAAACAGGAGTTGATACTAAAACTTCTACAGAAGGGTTTTTAAACCTTAGTATCTATACTTACAGTATACTTGAGTAACGAACGTGAAGGCTTTTGACACCTCTGTTGTTTTTTCAGTAAGTTTTGACTCACCGGTGTCTCCGGGGTTGTAGATGGGTTTGTCTGTTTGGATGAAGATGTACCCGGAGTGAAAGGACACCATCAGGACTCTCTGCTCAGAGTGGAAACCCCCAAAGGTCGCTGTCAGATGCACAAACTTGTTCTTTTTCTCCTCGCGATTCAAACGATCGGACGATAGCTGGGATCAAATCAAGGCAGAGGATTATTTTTATGGAACATTTGGAAAGATAGGTTTCACATTAACAAAATAAAACTGGAATAGTGATCACCTGTATGGTCTTCAGGAAGCAGAAGCCATTTTCCTGATTGAGTGTGACAGAGTCTTGAAGGAGCATGATTGTTTTAGTGAAGTCCATAATGGTGATGGAGACAGTGATGGGGTTGCTGACTTCATCTGCCTGTAAGTAGATGTTCTCCTGACTGTCTGCCCTCAGGAGGTCCGGAGCCACAAGGGTGAATCTTCAAACAATAAATAAATAAATAAATAATATGAAATATGTGAGAAATTCATATTCTTTTCATGGTTGGTTGTTTTCTACCAGGTGTGCATCTATGATAACAGAGCTAGACTTGATAGCATCAGCTCAGAGGTGAAAAATGTAGCTATTGCTTTCTTACTGCGTGTTAATAATTATAAATGACACACTTTGGGCATATATATTATAGCAAGACATATTAGCAGAATATACATTTGAAAATCAAACTACATACTTTTTATTTTAACTCATTCCTAGTACTTTACAGAAAACCTATATTAATAGCTGTATTATGACTCATAATATTTAATCAACAGTACCTCGGTGAAGAACTAAGCGACTCCTTTGGTTTTATAGGGCTGCAAAACAATAATTATTTTTGTAATTGTATGGTTTAAGATACAAAGAAATAATACTTGTTTCAGCTTCCTTGAATACTTACCCATGGCGGTCCACATATGTTCCAAATGATACAAATCTGGGGATAACATTCAGAAATATTACCTGCAGCAGTCAAAGGTAAAGACTTTTGATTTTTGCACAGATACACACCTCTCACGCCAGTGCCTGCAATGAACAAAGCTTGATTAGTTACCAAAAAGACAAAAAAACACAGTCAGCAGAAATTAGAGACATAAAGAAACATACTTCCTCTTGTCAGATTGTCCATTTATGTTGATGAAAAGCGTGAGGAATAAAAGGATGTGTAGTCTCCACCGAACCATGTTGGCCGTTGCCAGAGTTTTGGTGGACTGTGATCCCAAAGGAAGCTGGTTAGCTATAAAAACCAACATGTTTCTACTTGATCAAACACTACAGTCATCAGGAGCAGGGGGGGGGGGGGGGTCAGTTTAGATCAAGAACAAACGCCACAACCCATACACAGACTTTGAACTCAGCCAAAGGGTACGCAAAACATTGTGAAAAAGTGAAATTTCAAAACAATGAAATAGAAAATTAGTCATTTATTTTCCCCTTTTTGCTCCATCAACACTACAAGAGAATCAGAATCAGATTACGACTTACTGACCAAGTATTTTAACATAAAAGGAACTTCACGTGGTGTTGAAGTGCAGAACATGCAGCATAAACAAGCAATAAAAATCAAAAGTACAAATGTTTAGAAAAAGTATCTAAAAACAGAATGTCATGATAAAATGAGACTACTGCCTACAGAAGCTTAATTGAACTACCAAGAGGAGCAACCAACAACGGACAAGCGGTGCAAAAATTTAAATAAAAACCAGGAAGTAAACATTTTTAGAGATGGTGAACATTTTGTGCAAATGAACATAGTCGCAGTGTACACATGACATCCATTCAAAATTGTTAGTGTAACTCAATGTCCATACATTAATGCAACATTAATAGGGGTCAAATCAGTGGGGGTCCCTGCACTTATTGATGAGTCCAGTAGCAGAAGGAAAGAAACTCTTCATGTGGCGAGAGGTTTTGGTCCTGATAAACCTCAACCTCGTACCGGAAGGGAGAGTCTTCATGTCTGAGTGTGGGAGGGGTCTGCAAGAAACTTTCCTATCTGCTTTATTATCCTGGAGGTGTGCAGGTGGCAGCCACAGTACCATAAAGTTTATACTTTGAAGCTGTCATCTTATGTACTACTAATTAACTCTACTAAATATGGTCAAGTGAATTATCCTCAGAACCTTAAAGTTAAGATTAAAAAATGTAAATGATACACATAAAAACAACTCATTTTTTAATAAAGCTAATTCCACACTGAAAAACATTTTAAAGTGGATAAAACAATATAAAAGCTGTATATTATTTTGTTTCCCCCAAAAATCATATACAGTATATATA